GCCGCTCTGGGGCCGCCCGGTCCTGGGTGTCCCCGGGAAGGTGTCACCGCTCCCGGGGACCGCGGCTCTTCCGTGGGGACCCCGTGTCCCGAAGCCCCCGTGTCACCGGCTGCCGCCGCCTCCGTCCCCCTCTGCCCCCGTCGCCACCGGCCTCGTCCGTCCCGATGCGCCCAGGACGGCGGTGCCACCGTGACCTTGTCCCCTCCCGTGGCCGAGCGCGGGGGGGCCGCCGCCCTGTCCCCCCCAGCTCAGGGACACCCCGAGCTCAGGGACACCCCGAGGCAGGGCGAGGGCCCGATCCCGGGGTGCCCCGCGCCCCCCGGCCGGGGCGCCCGGCGGCTCCGCCTCCTACCTGAACTCAATGCATCTTTTCTTCTTCTTTTTGTTCCTTTTTGTTGTTTTCTTCTGCCTTTTCTCCTCCTTTTCCTCTTTTTTCTCCTGTTTTCCCCCTCTCTCTGGCCGCCCCCCGTGCCCCCCACCCCTCTCGCTTTCCTCTGTACATTCCTCCAAGGTAAGTGGCCGCGGGGCTGCGCTCGGGGACGCCCCGGTGTCCCCGGGGCTCGCCGCTGTCCCCAGCCCCGCTGCCGCAGCCCCCCCGTGCAGGGGGGACAATGACAGCGGCTTGGGGACCTTTGGGTGTCCCCCCCACCCCGCGGCGACGGTTCCCACCCCCCGCGCCCCCGGGGCTGGGGACGTGGCTGCGGGCCGCGCGGACGAGGCTGGGGACACCGGCGGTGGGGGGGGGGACAGGGTGACACGGGGGGTGACCCGGCGCGGGGGGGACACCGCGCTGTCACAGCGGGCGCTGACGTGGTGCTTTCCCCCCCGCCGCAGCAGCGAAGAGTTTGCTCAACAAGAAGGCGGACGGTGTGAAGGTGAGCGGTGACACCGGTGACACGGGGGGGGGCTGTGCCCCCCGACCCGGTGACACCCCTTAACCCCCCCAAACCAAACCAAACCCCCCCCCCCCCCGGCAGCCGCAGACCAACAGCACCAAAGGCAGCGCCGGTGTCACCAGCCCCAAGGGCACCCTGCCGCCCGCCGCCCTGGTAGGTGCCCGCGCTGGGGGGGCACGGCCGCGATTTGGGGGGGCGGGGGGGACACGGGACATGATAGGGACACATGGACAGACACACGGACACCTGTTAGGGCCGGGCACCCCCCTCGCCTCCATCCCATCCCATCCATCGCCGCACACGGTAGGTGCCCCCCAATGAAGGTGGCAGCACCCTGGGGTGCTGGTCCCCCCCCGCCGCCGCCTCCAGCTCCCTCCTCTTCCTCTCTGCCTATTAATCCCATCCGCCTGCCGCTCCACTAACCGCTCTCCGCTTCTCGTCCCCGTCCCGCTCGGGGTCCCCCTCCGCGCGCCCCCTCTCTGGCTCTGCCCCCCGCCCGCTCTCGCTCTTCCTCCCTCTCTCTCCTCCTCTCTCCTCTGTCTTTCTTCCTCCTGTAGGAACCTCAAACTACTGTTATTCATAACCCCGTGGACGGCATCAAGGTATCGCTGCCTCGCTTCCCTTCTCGGCCGCCCCCCCTGCCCGGGACCCCCCCGGCCCCGGGGGGGCCTCCTCGCCCGCCGGGGCCTCCTTAGGGGCAGCTCTCGCGCGCATCCGGCCTCCGCTTTCCGCCTCCATCGCTCCCATGCCCGTCCCACCGCCCAGCATCACCCCCCAGGACCCCCCCCGGGGCGGGGGGGCTGCGGAGCGCCGGGCTCCGGCCCCGCTCGCCCCCCCGCCCTGACTGTGTCCCCCCCCCGGCGCCGCGCGCAGGAGTCCTCGGACAGCACCAACACCACCATCGAGGATGAGGACACCAAAGGTAGCGGGGGGGCGCGGGGAGGCGGCGCCCTGCAACGGGGTTGCACTGGGATGCGCGGGATGGCACTGGGATGGCACTGGGATGCGCTGCAGGGCACTGGGATGGTGCTAAGATGCATTGCAATGTCTTGGGATGCACTGCAGGCCACTGGGATTGCCCCGGGATGCATTGCAATGTCCTGGGATACATCCCAGTGCACTGAGATTGCACCGGGATGCACTGTAGGGCACTGGGATGGCGCTGGGGTGCATTGCAATGTCCTGGGGTACATCCCAGTGCACTGGGATGGCGCTGGGATGCACTGCAGTGCCCTGGGATGGCGCTGGGAGGCACTGCACTGCACTGGGATGGTGCTGGGATGCATTGCAATGCACTGGGATGCACTGGGATGCACTGGGATGCTACTGGGATGCCTGGCAGTGCACTGGAATGGTGCAGGGATGCATTGCAATGCACTGGGATGGTGTTGGGATGCATTACAATGAGAGTCATTGCATTGCACTGGGATTGCACTGGGGTGCATTGCAGTGCACTGGGATGGTGCTGGGGCGCATTGCAGTGCACTGGGAGTCATTGCGTTGCACCGAGATTGCACTGGGATGCATTGCAATGCCCGGGAAGGCCCTGGATTGCACTGCAGTGCACCGGGATGGTGCTGGGATGCATTGCAGTGCATTAGAGTGGCACTGGGATGGCCTTGGGTTGCATTGCGATGCACTGGGATGTGCTGGGATGCACTGGGATGTACTGCAATGCCAGGGATACACTGCAGTGCACTAGGGTGGCCCCGGGAGCCGCTGCAATGCACGGGGACACCTCGCACTGGAGTGGCCTTGGCTCCGTCATGGTGCTGACGTGCACTGCAGGGCACTGCGGTGGCCCCGGGATGCAGGGCACTGCACTGGGAGGCACTGGGATGACACTGGGATGCGCTGCGGGGCGCTGGGGGGGCCTTGGGATGCATCGCAGTGTCCTGGGATAGCCCTGGGATGCGCTGCAGTGAACTGGGATGCACTGGAATGACCCTGGGATGCACTGCAATGCACTGGGATGGTAGCAGGATGACCGGGGGTGGGAGGAGGGGGCATGGGAATGCCCTGGAATGCATGGGAATGGCACTTGGGATGCACTGGCATGCACTGAGATACATTGCAATGCACTGGGTGAACTGGGATGCGCTGGGAGGGACCTGAGGGGCCCAGGATAGGGACCTCCCACCTGCCCATGTCCCGGGTGTCCCCACATCCCTCTGGCCCCACATCCCTCCTGGCTCCCACGGCCCCACATCCCTCCCCACATCCCTCCAGCCCCTACATCCTGGCTCCCCAGCCCCCCTATGGCCCTATCATCTTCCTCTTCCCTGCTCATCTTCCTCCTCCTCCATCACCTTCCTCCTCCCTCCGCCCATCGCCTGCCTCCTCCTCCCGCCTTCATCTTCATCCTCTCTCATCTGCCTCCCTCTCCATCACCTTCCTCCTGCTCTATCACCTTCCTCCCCACTCTGTCACCTTCCTCCTGCTCTATCACCTGCCTCCTCCTCCTCCATTATCTGCTTCCCCCTCCATCACCTGCCTCCTCCCTCCATCTCCTGCCTCCTCCTCCCTCCTTCATCTTCATCCTCCATCACTTTCCTCCCCCTCCATCATCTTCCTCCTCCAGCACCTGCCTCCTCCTCCATCATCTGTTTCTCCCTCCATCACCTTCCTCCCCCCTTCCACCACCTTCCTCCCCCTCCATCCTCTTCCTCCTGCTCCATCGCCTGCCTCCTCCTCCCTCCCTCATCTTCCCCGTCTCCATCCCCTTCCTCGCGCTCCGCGTGTCCCTGGGCTCCGGGGGGGCCGGGGGCGGCCGCCAGCGTGGCCCGCGCTGCCCCCAGCCCGCAAGCAGGAGATCATCAAGATCACGGAGCAGCTCATCGAGGCCGTCAACAACGGGGACTTCGAGGCCTACGCGTGAGTGCGGCCGCGGGGGGGGCCCGGGGGGGCCGGGCGGGGGGCTCAGCCGCCGCCCCCCCGCAGGAAGATCTGCGACCCGGGACTCACGTCCTTCGAGCCCGAGGCGCTGGGCAACCTGGTGGAGGGCATGGACTTCCACCGCTTCTACTTCGAGAACCGTGAGTGCCCGGGCGGCCCCCCGGCCCTTTCTGCTGCTCCCCGCCGTGTGTCCCTCCTGTCCTGTCCTGTCCTGTCCTGCCTCCTGCCCGCCCGGCTTCTCTGTCCCGTGCATCCCCATCGCTCCTGCCTGTCCCTTGTCTGTCCTGCCTGTGCCCTGCCTCCCTCTTCCTCCAGCCCAACCTCCCGTCTGGCCCCCTGCCCATCCCATCCACCCATCCGTCCATCCATCCATCCGTCCATCCATCCATCCACCCCATCCTGCCTTCCATCTGTTTGTCCGTCTATCCCAGCTCTCTATCCATCCCATCCATCCCTCCCATCCATCCATCCATCCATCCATCCATCCATCCCCTCCTGCCTTCCATCTGTCCTTCGCATCTGTCCATCCATCCATCCGTCTGTCCATCCATCCATCCATCCATCCCATCCGTCCATCCATCCATCCATCCATCCCATCCGTCCATCCATCCATCCATCCATCCCATCCGTCCATCCATCCCATCCTGCTATCCATCCATCCATCCCCTGCACCCCGCCACCCCTGCCTGCCCCGTCCCCGCCCCCTCGCCCCGGCTCAGCGCGCGCGCCCCGCAGTGCTCTCCAAGAACAACAAGCCGATCCACACGACCATCCTGAACCCGCACGTGCACGTGATCGGCGAGGACGCCGCCTGCATCGCCTACATCCGCCTCACGCAGTACCTGGACGGGCAGGGCCGCCCGCGCACCAGCCAGTCCGAGGAGACGCGCGTGTGGCACCGCCGCGACGGCAAGTGGCAGAACGTCCACTTCCACTGCTCGGGGGCGCCCGTGGCCCCGCTCCCGGCAAGTGGCAGAACGTCCACTTCCACTGCTCGGGGGCGCCCGTGGCCCCGCTCCAGTGAAGGTGAGCCTGGGAACGCGCGCACGGAGCGCGGCCGCCTCCCGCCATGGGGCTGAGCTGGCATGGGGGTGCTCGGGCAGCTGGAATTGCAGGTGGGATGCTCGCGCGTCCAGGCTTGGAGATGGCATCTTGGATGTCTGAGCTCCCGTGTGGGATGCTTCGTCAGCTGGGGTTGGAGGTGGGATGCTTGGGTATCTGGGATGGGAGGTGGGTTGCTTGGATGTTCTAACTGGGATGTGGGATGCTCAGGCACCTGGGATGGGTTATGGGATACACTGTGGGATGCTGGATCTCCAGCCTGAATATGGGATCTCTGATGTCCGAGCGGGGATGTGGGATGCCTACCCAGTTGGCATTGGAGGTGGTGTGCTGGGATGTGGGATGCTTGGATGTCCGAGCTGGGATGCAGGGTGCTCCAGCAGCTGAGATGGGATGTGAGGTGCTTGAGTGGGGGATGTTTGGATTCGGGATGTTCGGCTCTCCAAGCTTGGAGCTGGCAAGCAGGAACGTCCAAGCTGAGGTGTCCGCGCTTCCGCACGGGCTGAGCTTGGCTGTGCCACGCAGGGATGTCCGAGCTCGGGAGCCAAGCTTGGGCCTCCAGGCTTTCCCGGGGGAGCCCGGCCGGGATGGGGGAGCTCGGGCACGGGATGAGCCCACGGATGGGGACAGGCGCCGCTTGTCCCCTTGTTGACGGCGCCGCTCGTCCCGTGCCGCAGGGCTCGAGCTGCCTGGCCTGGTGTGAGCGCGGAGGAGCCGCCGCCGGAGCCGCGGCCCCGGAGCACGCGTCCGCATGCTTGTCCCCCCGCCCGAGCCCCCCCCGCGCC